TTTATAATAACATTCTGGAACTGAATCCGACGAAACTAAAGTAATTTCATTGTTATTTAACCTGAAATTAGAAAAAAAACGAGACACTAAGGAAACAGACGTAACTTCCTACAGATTCTCCCTGATAATTTTGTTAAATAACGAACATGAAAATTGATGCTTGATATCTTGTTTGTTTTTCTCTTTATTGTGCACAATTTTTTCTTCTGTATTCAACTTTACTTCCCACGATTCTATTTGATAAACTATAAAAAGTCACGCAATCGTAGCTTATTTCGATTTATATGTAATGTTAAATTTGTTCGTGTGATTGTTAATGGCTTATTATTTCGAAACAACCAATCACAATGCCAGTACAGTATACGGAAGGATGTTTATGGCTTTAAATATGAGTCGAACACCGCTTGGAGAACATAGAGGTTTTGTTAACAATTCTTGAACGATCTATGTTGCAAATCATCATCATGCAGTCATCAATTGCAAAATTGTTATTAGTGTTTGTCTTATGTATCGTTTCGTTATCGCATGTCAAGGTAATTATTATTTTAGTAGATTTTTTATATTAATCTTTCATATTTATTTATTTTGTTTTTTATTTTTTAGGCAGATAACAAAGTTACAGTGCAAGATGTGAAGGTGGACATCCCGAGCAACAATATCGTCGGGTCATGGGAGCCGCAAGTTTCAAATAATCTCATTAGTTCAAAAATTGCTATCAAGGAGAATTGTCCAGGTGAAATAGAAGTATGTGTCTTGATTTAAGTATTATTTGATTCTAATATTATTATTTATTGTCTTCAACTCTGTCCTCTTTGCAGGGAAATTAGGTAATTATCCACCTATAAAGATTAAACGTATTTTTTAATTTTTGCTAAAATTTTTTGCAAAATACAGCAAATCGAAGTAACTCTTATGTTGTATTTTAGGCCGATATAAAGGTTTACCAAGGTGATCAAATAGTTAGTCAAACGACCAAGAAATTTGACAAACCGGTCAAGGATTTCGAAAGTATGAATATTTGCTCGTCGGTTGAAAGCCCAGATCTCGATGATGATTCATGTTCTATTGCAGAGGTGAAACAAGTTATATATTTTTCTTTTTAAATCGAATCGTGCATAATTGACAGAAATGTCAGCTTCGATCGAATAATTAAACGATAAAATAAAATTGATTCATTACACGAAACGAACAAATTCAGCACAATTAAATAATTGTATCTCTCAAATAATTATCTGCACAAGTTATATAAGGTAGACATGATTTTAAGTTTGAAGAATGTTTTTCTAATTTAATTCAATTTCATCACTTATAGGGTGAACAATCAGCTACAGATTGTGATGTAAGTGATTGGTTTAAACAGATGAAACCCGGAGATTACAATGCTGTATGCGATTTCAAGCAAGGTGGCAATACAGTTGCTAGTGTCACACTGAGCATAAAAGTAGAAGTAGATATGTAATAATATAATTCCAGATCACACTGTCAGATATCCTTCGACGTTTATGTTTATATAATTACTAATTCTATGCATGATTATAATTGTTGCTTGCTTAATATTGTAAAAGCAATTTGTTGTATCTTTAGATAATAAAGATAGCATACAAGATAAATATATTTGCTTTATATTTATATTAATTTTATTTTACATATACTTTTTTATTTTTTAACATAAAAATCGTAAGAAAAAATTCATCGTCGCTGTTTAGAATATTTCCTTTATTATTAATTGTAAATATTACATAAACATATACAATTAATTTTCAGTGTCCTTCACTAAGCATGTTCCAAAAAATTCATTGAAATGATTCGTTTTTGAAAAAGAGAGGTAGTAACAAAGCAAAAAATGGAGATACAAAAGAAGTATGCTAACTCTACTTATATTTTCAAATTTTGTTTCATCCAAGGTATATTTTTCTTCTCTTAACACTTGCATGAATTTCGACTGAACTGCCTTCTTTTGTGAATCATCAAGTATATTCTACTGTGCAATAATAATAATATTTAATATTATTTACATGTCATAATACTCTTTAATATGTTAATAAAACAATATCTTTAAAATTTTCTTTTTTAAAAATACTTACTTTGATATTAGTATTTGTTCTAGTATTTAATATACTTGATGAATCAGCATTCTTTTCTGTAACAAAATCTTATTATTTTTGGAAACATGTGTTAAATATGATTCAAAAAAATAATTAAAAATAAAGATAGAATCATTAATTGATAAATGATGAAACGAAATCTTACTTATGAAGTGACAATTTAATTTTGTATTATTCTTTGGAATCATTAATTTTTGAAAATTTGTAGGTAAATATTTTATCTTTTTTATATTTCTAATATTAATTTCTGCTGGTTGATCATTCTGTCATTTCAAAAGAATGAATGTTTAAATTGAATAATTATTCAATAAAATTTCCTAGATGTATGCAATACATTTTACCATTAATTTATTAA